GCCTGGCAGGGCTGGGGTTGGGGTAAGAGCCCGGTGGGGATGCGACAAGAGATGCTGTGCTCAGTCTGTGCCGTGTGTTGGGAAACCAGCAGTCCCGCCAATCAGTGGGGATCTCTACTTAGGGCAAAGGCTGACAAAGCTGGGGGGCTGCGGGTTGGGATTTGGGGGAACCGGCAGAGCTGGGAGGAGCCCAGGTCTGGGGCAGCGGGGGGCTGTGGGTCGGGATTTGGGGGAACCGGCAGAGCTGGGAGGAGCCCAGGTCTGGGGCAGTGGGGGGCTGCGGGTCGGGATTTGGGGGAACCGGCAGAGCTGGGAGGAGCCCAGGTCTGGGGCAGCGGGGGGCTGCGGGTCAGGATTCAGGGCAGCCCAGTAGCATGTCACATGTCTCCTGGCTGGGCCTGCTGAGTCACTGTCTCTCCTGAGAAGTGGGACAGGCTGGGCTGCTTTCACCTTCAGCTCTCCCTGGGCTGTTAGAGACACTGTGGGTGGGGGGCGGGGCTGGCAAGCTGCTTCCTGGCGTGGCTGGGGCTGTGCTGTCCGGGGGGTGCTGCAAAGCGCCATGTGGAGACAGGGGCCATGCCCCAGGCACAGAGCTCCTGAGATCAGCCCTTGGCAGGTGTGAGTCAGCACAGGACCCTAGGCTACATGGGGCTTTGGCCATTTCCACCAGGCTCTGAGGTACCAAGTCCCAGCATGCACTGGGCTCCCCATGGATTCTCAGTGGGGGGGGGTGGGCCACATCACTTTGCTTGGAAGCCGCAGGCAGGAATTGGGAGGGGCACCTGCCTCCCCCCAACGGGGTGCCCCTCACACAGGGGTGGGAGCCTTCGAGTGATCTGCAGTGTTGACGACCCAGTCTGCTTAGGCAGGTGGGTGCTGTCCTATGAAATATAAAGGCATCGGGAGGTAGGAACCCAGGTGTCCTGGCCATGTTCTAGAGGGGAGAATCAAATGTGATAGGGGACTATTTCCCATTCCCCGACCTGACCTCTTGTGCCGCATCGGTGACACCTGTGAGACAACTGACAGGTCCCACCCCAGAAGTAGCCGCACCTAGGGATCCCTGCATGTCGGTTGCAAGTTACCCCCGTCAAAGAAATAAACTATGGAAATATCCGTCCTCGCCTGTCATTCGCTGAGGGCTGGTTCCATGCCCAGGGCACAAAATACACACGAGCCATGGCTCCGAGAGAGAGCTACAGGGGAGGGAAGCGGAGAGGGAGAGGGACGGATCGTGGAGCCATCCATCCATCCACCCATTGGACTATCTGTCCCTCCCTACTCGGACACCCATCGCAGTATGGCCAGGGACACAGCCCCAGAGAAGCGTGGACAGAACAATAACTGTGTCGGGCAGCCTGGACACTGGGGCTCACAAAACAGCCACAGCATCCCGGCTTGGACACTGGGGTCAGACCTGTGGGGCACGTGTGGAGCTGTGTGCAGGGGTGGCTAGCGGGCTGGGCCAGAGCTGTGCCTGCTCTTACCTTTGTCCAGTTTGTTGTGCTTTTCCAGGAAGCTGAACCAGTCCTTGCACGTGGTGATCTCCTCGTGCTTCTCACTAGGGATGTCCTCCTTGCACGCCGACTTCAGCTGGTCCAGGTCCTCGTTGGTGATGTTCTCTGCCAGCTCCTCCAGCAGGCTGCTGTACTCTGCCATTTCTGCAGAGGGCGCACAGGGACAGCGGCATGGTTAGACCCAGCCCTGGTAGGCTGGTTACCAACCCGAGCTGGAACTCCAGAGCCATCTCAACCTGCCAACATGCGGGGCAGCCGCTTCCGGCCCTGCAGGACTTAGGGGATTACTAGGGGACCCAGTGCAATGAGGGAAGAAGGGGCAGGAAGAGATGGGTTCGGGGCAGAGCAGGAGGGATTGGGAAAGAGGTGGAGTGGGGAGGTGTGGGGGCAGAGCAGGAGGGGCATGGGGAAGAGGTGGAGTGGGGAGGTGTGGGGGCAGAGCAGGAGGGGCATGGGGAAGAGGTGGAGTGGGGAGGTGTGGGGGCAGAGCAGGAGGGGCATGGGGAAGAGGTGGAGTCCCTAGGCACAGTGCTGCCGGTTGCAGCCAATTGGGAAGGTTTCAGCCCCATGCAATTAATTTTGGGTGATCTAGGCCCAGGTCCCACATGTCCACTTTAGAAATGCTGGGCCCCAAGCCCAGATACATTAACACTGTCACTGGGCTCTGTCCCCTGGAGGTGCCCAGGATCGGAGCCCAGGGCTCCACTGTTCCAGTCCCTGGACAATTGGAACAGAGACGACAAGCAGGGTGATCCCAGGATGCCCAGCACAGAGCCTCCCGCCCCCTCTGAGCACCACTGCACGTCTCCCTCAAGAGGGATTAGCAGAGCGCCCCAAGATGGCTTATGTGTTTCTATTGGTGGTGCCCACTCACAATGCCTCAGTGCACAGGGACATTTATTCCGCACATGGATGGAAAAGATTAGTCACACTGGTGGCTGCCTTTAAAAATTAAACCCTTAGTGGACAGATTCAGCAGCTGCTATTCCTGCCCTCCCCTGTCATCGCGGCATTGGGAGCCAGCAGCGCCAGTGAAGGATGCATCCTGGCTGAGATGACAGAGGAGGGCAGGGTTAGCAGCTCCCACCCACTGACCTGGCCTCCCCTTTCCCCCAAAATCAGTCCAGGGGGGCCTCCACCCCGCCCCCTTGTGCAGTGCTTGAGATGTGCGGGGGTGGGTGGGTTGTGGGTAACGCACCCAACAGGGAGCCCAGCTAGCTCGGTCATCCTGCCCCAGCTTTTCAGACTCAGCCTCTGACGCTGTGTGCCGTCCCGCCAAGCCCTGCGTGCTCCACCCAACCCCCTTCTGCAGATGGGGAAAGCAATGGCAGAGCTGGGACCTGGCCCCTGGTGTCCTTAGCCCCCAAGCCCATCCCCAGGGTGATGCCAGCCCATGGGGGTATGTGCTGATCATACACTCGCCGGCTCCTTGCAGCAACCGTCTATGAGGCTTCCTCCGAGCCTGAGAGAACCCCAAGGCCTATCTGGGCCCAATGACCCCACTGCAGATTCCCCCTTGTCTTCATTTCACCAGGGGCCTGTTGCCTCATTGCCACACACAGAGGGCACATGAAGGAGGATGCTCCAGCCACAGACAAGGAGGACCAGAAGAGCAGGAGGGCAGTAGGCAGGCAAAACTGCACTGCAAAGGAGGGCTGGGAGGCAGGGCCTGCTTCACCCAGGAGACGGCAGGGCCAAAGTCCTTCCATGGCCCCCATTCCATGGCTCCCTTCATGGCCAAACCTTGCCCCTACAGCAGCCTACTACTGCCGTGCAGCTGGAGGAGCGCCACAATAGCAGTGGAGGCCTGTGCTTTGAGGTGGAGCAGGTTCAGGTCCTACTTAGACCATGGGACCTGGTGTACTAAGCCTGCAATGCCATGGGCCCAGACTGCCATGGTCTGTGCCACTGAGCGACACCCTCTCCAATCAGGGAACAGATTGGATCCAGTCATGGGACAGGCTCCCTGCGGTCTCTGGGAGGCTGTAGTACATGTCTGATTGTTTGAACTCCGTGGGTTGTGTCTGTGTCCAACACCAGGTGGAGGGTGCTAGGAACCTGGGGACACTCTTCTGAGGAGAGACAGAAGAGATTAGAATTTGTCCCACGGGCAGCAGGTGAAGGCCCAGCTAAAGAAGGCAAGCCCCAGCCCTGCCCCTTCTGCTTGAGGCCCCTCCCCTCGAACCAAGTCCCGCCCACCCCTAGCCCAATACTTCCTAGCCACCTGGAGTATTGTGTATTGGGGTTGTAGATATAGATCTTGTTGTTATAGTAACTGAGCTAGGTCACTAAGGGTCAGCCCAGCTGGTTTGGGCTGGTTCTAGTTCTGTTATGAAATAAATGGACACCTGCAACTGCTCAAGAACACTGCCTACATGCTTAGCCACCAGGGAGGGATGTGGGGCAGCCCTGCTCCCTGGACACTGGGGAAGGCTGGGGCTGCAGCGCGGCAACCCCAGCCCTCCATGTTATATCATTTGCATGAACATGGCTGCTGCTTTTTTCCGGCTCGGGGCTTTGCCAGAAAAAAGCGCCAGTCTAGACAGGGATCTTGTGGAAAATAAACCTTTTTCCGGAAGATCCCTTATTGCTGATTTTAAGTAGGAATAAGGGATCTTCTGGAAAAGGGTTTATTTTCCACAAGATCCCTGTCTAGACTGGCGCTTTTTTCTGGCAAAGCCCCGAGCCGGAAAAAAGCAGCAGCCATGTTCATGCAAATGATATAACATGGAGGGCTGGGGTTGCCGCGCTGCAGCCCCAGCCTTCCCCAGTGTCCAGGGAGCAGGGCTGCCCCACATCCCTCCCTGGTGGCTAAGCATGTAGGCAGTGTTAGGAAGGCTATGCCTTCCCTTGCCTACATTACTGGCCATCCATGCCTGTTCGCCTAAGAGGGGGATGAGATAAAATCCTGAATGGGACTGATGGGAGAGCCGATGCGTCTGTTTTCCCTGTTTCTAAACAGTAAACAAGAGGCAGTCTCTGACATCAGAAAGGGGGAATCGGAAAAGTGATCAAAGGAAAAGCTTTTTGACAGAACATGTGATTAGCCTGTTCCTTCCTCTCAGCAAGGGGATGTGCTGAAAGATGAATGATCAGATAGCAGGATGGTTACTAGTGGAGATCCTCTAGCATCAGTCTTCATATTTTTATGAATAACCTTGCAGGAAATTCGCGGATGGTTCAAAGTTGGGAGGCATCGTCCATACAGAGGAGGGCCGGAATATTACACAAGAATTGCTGGATGACCTTGAAGTGACAGAAATGGGATGAAATTCAATTGTACAAAGTGCGAAGTCATGTACTTAGGGGCTCATGATAATAATTTCCACTATAAGCCGGCGGCTTATCAGTTGGAAGCGACAGAGGAGGCGGAGAGAATTGAATTTAGAGCATTAAAGGAGGGTAATATAATTAGTGCCAATCAACATGGGTTTATGGAATACAGCGCCTGTCAGACGAACTCGATACCTTTTTTTGATGAGATTACATGTTTTCTTGATAAAGGTAATAGTGTTGCTGTAAGATACCTAGACTTCTCTACGGCGTTTGACGTGATCCCCCCTGACATTTTGATTAAAAAAACACGCTAGCGAATTAACAGTGCACACAGTAAATGGGTTACAAGCTGGCTCAGGGATGTTACTGTAAACGGAGAGTTATCATCACCCAGGTGAGTTTTCAGGGAGAGTCCTGTAGGGATCAGTTCTTCACCCTGCATGATTTGATATTTTTATCAATCACCTGAAAGAAAACATAAAATCCACCTCTGATGAAGTGGGCAGCGAACACAAAAATTGGGGGAGGGCTACAAGAAGAAGGCAGGCCACTGTCGTAGCAGTCTGGATTGCTTGATAAACTGGGTGCAAGCACACAACATGCATTTTAATAGGGCTCCATGTAGGAACAAAGAATGTAGCCGTACTGACAGGATGGGGGACTCTACCCTGGGAAAGCAGGGACTCTGAAAAAGATTTGGGGGTTGTGGTGGATAACTAACATGTTCTTCCAGTGCAACGTTTTGGCCAGAAGAGCTAATGCCATCCTGGGGTGAGTAAACGGGATGGAGCAGAGAAGAAGCCGAGAGGTGATTTTACTTCTCTATCCGGCACTGGTGTGATGGCCACTAGAATCCTATGGCTAGTTCTGTCTTCACCATTCAAGGAGGATGGTGATAGCGGGGAGGGGTCAGGGAAGAGACAGGGTTAGCAAACCTGCCTGACTGACTCAGGAGCTCGATCTGTTTAGCTTAACAGAGAGAAGACGAAGGGGGTGACTTGCTCCCAGCCTGTCCGTCGAGGTCGCACATTTCGTGTCAGGCTTTTCAACCTGGCAGCGAAATGTTGCGCACGATGCAATGGCTGGAAGTTGAAGTGGGACAAATGCAGGCTAGAAACAAGGAGCACGTTTTTAATGGTGGGGGGTAATTAACCATTGGAACACCACAGCAAGAGCTGACGAGCTTCCAGGAGGGAGAGTGAAGCACTAAGGGGTAGTGTAAGCCCTGGGAGACCCCCTTGGGAATACTGTGGCCAGTTCTGGCTGCCTACATTCAAGGAAGATTAATTTGACCTGGAACAGGTGCAGTGCAGAGCTACTGGGATGGATGTGGAGAGGAGGCTGGAAGACTGGGGCAAGACTCAGCTTTAGCATGAAGGAAGCTGAGAGGGGCTGTGATTGCTCTCTCTAAATTCACAGGGGGTTAATACCTGGGTGGAGGAAGAGCTATTAGGCTAAGGACAATGTTGGCATGAGAACAAGTAGATATCAATGGAGGAACAAATTCAGACTGGGAATTAGAAGACGGTATTTGTCGGGAGCAGGGCAGGGGGGAGGGATTCTGGAACAGCCGGCCTATAGAAGCTGGGGGAAGGGAGCAATTAATTTTGAGAGAGCAGGGTACATTCATGAGTACAGTTGAGTGATGGGGTTACTTGCAATGGTGGAGAGCAGGGCTGAGCAGCTCACCTCTGTCACTAAAAGCTCATGCTTCAGGGTTTCAGCCTGAGAGGGTCAGGAAGGGATTCACCTTTCCCCGCTACCCCTTCAAGGTATTCTCTAATTGTCTTTGATATCTTCTTCCTCTGAAGCATCACCAATGGCCACTTCTAGGGAGAGGGCACTGAATGGGGAGGGCCAGGGCTGAC